GACTCATAACCACTACGCTACCAGAGACTAGAGCATCTCAAAATCCTAAGAGAGCTGGTTAGGTGCTGAGCTGCAAATGGCAAGCTCAGAAGTTCAAAACCACCAGCCATTCCATAGAAGAAAGATGAGGTTGTCGGCTCTTGTAAAGATGTACCGTCTTGCAAACTTTATATAGGGTCACTATGAGTCAGAACTGGAGTCCTGGTGTGGTGCTGTGGGCTAATGCGTCAGACTGCAAAGTCATTTGAACTGCAAGGTAGGTGGTTCAAACTCGGCAGCTGCTCCTTGGAAATCCTATACAGAGTCGCGATGGGTTGGAATCAACTCAACAGCACTTAACAACAACAAAAACATGAGTCAGAATTGACTGAATAGAAGTGGGTTTGGGTTAGGTTACCTAGAAACCCATTTTGGAGCTACTGTTAATATTTTCCTGCTTTTGCAGGGCAGAACTTTGGCATTGGGCTTCCTTGTTAAATGATTTCTCCTAACACCCTTATGAGGTAAAACACTGGCAATTTGAAGTAGGTGTAATGGTGATAAATCTTCTGCCTAAGGACCTACTGAAAACAAGAAATACAGATCCCTGGCTCTGTTTATCTTTTAAGCTACAAGTCTCTTGGCCACTAACACAAAACTTTTTAAACAAACTCCTTGAGGGACTCCTTGGAGAAGTATAGAATCTTTAGTCCTTTGTATTGAAATAAAGGTTATCAGCATTTGAACAAATCAAGCTATTTTTCTCACTAGTATCATTTGCCCACTCTTGGTTACATAAACTATGCTATTGACCTTTAGCAGGTACATATTAAGAAAAAAATGTAACTCATACATGTCTTCATATGTTTCGCCTTCACTCTCATGTTCCTGTCAAGAAAAACATTGATGATGATTAATTTTAATGGCTTAAAGATGTAAAACACACACATTACACTGATCAAATAGCTAGCAAAAATTGTATAAATGTATTTTTGAGTTTTGCTTGTTTAAAACAATTTTTACATATTTTAGTGAGCATGAAAAGATTTCATTCTCTTATCCTGTTACACTGTTCAGATGGGTAGCCAGACTTCAGTTTAAGTTCAGCACTACTCATTACTGACTGATGCAATGAATGATATGTATTAGCTCAATAAAGCAAGTTCAACAACACTACAAACTGAAAAATGTTCTCATTACTCATAAGAATTTTATACCAGCAGGAAGTAAATCACAGCAATTATTAAATATTCCTGCTAGAGCAGTGTAGCAAACAGGAAATGAAAGAAAAATACAAAGCTGACCTCGTCTATGTGTCCAGTACCTAAAGGATTAAAAAAAAAAAAATCTGGTTTTAATATATTATAGTTGAGAAGTACTTCAGTACAGGATAATTAGATGCAATATGGCATTATTCAAAAATAATTCAAAATCTAATAGACAAAGTTTTAGCAAAGAAAAATCACAAGGTACTTACTCTGACTTTAAAAAATAATTATAACTCAAAGTAATACAAAACCCAACAAATACTTAAGACAATGTCCTCTTTTTGAAAGGTATGCACGTTTCATTCTACAGGCTTATGTAGAACAAAATAATTCACAAAACAAATCACAGATTTCAGCAAATGAACTACTGGTTCATACTTTTTGGCCTACTTGATCACAAAGATTTGCTTATATATCAAATAAATCAAGTTAATTTTATTATTTATTAATAATATTTTACTATATTTTGGTGAAGGTTTACAGACCAGTTGGGCTGATTTTTAAAAGGAATATTGACTGCTGAAGACTTGGATGTGACCTTAATGAATTACCAAATAGTAATAAGATATAATCTAGATAAATAATGTGAAAAACAATATAATTTTGGTACAAGAACAAATAGACCAATGCGACAGAGCAGACAGCTCAGAGACAGACACATATACAAATACATATATACAAATATACATATATATGTGTGTGTGTGTCTATACATGTGTAACATATACACACATATGCATATACCTGCAATACACATACAAGGTAATATAATACAAACATGGCACTATAAATGAATGAGAAGACAAGAGATTGCTCAGAACATGGTAATGAGAATTCTGATTTCATCTGTGAAGCAGCAAATCTGTATTCTTACGAATTCCTCAAAGGTGGACTGCAAAGGGATCTGAAGGCCTAAATACAAATATCCAAGTTCATATAAAAATACAAGAGAATATTTTTATTTTTTAGAGATTGGAAGGACTTCTTAAATAAAACTTAAGATATGCAACCTACAAGGCAAAAAGTAATGAATTTATTGTTGTTTTTAGGTGCCATGAAGTCCGTTCTGACTCATAGCAACTGTATGCACAACAGGACAAAACACTGCCTGGTCCTTCACTGTCCTCACAATCATTGTTAAACTTGTGCCCATTGCTGCTGTCACTGTGCCAATCCATCTTGTCGGGGAGCTTCCTCTTTTTCATTGATCTTGAATTTAATAAGACAAAATTTATTTCTGTTCAATGAAGGAAGTATTGACTATGCTAACAGACCAAGAATAACATGGGAGAAGATATCTGCAGTACCTGAAACTGACAAAGGATTGATATATCTAAAATATCTTAAAAAATCCAGTAGTTCAACCATTCAAAACACCAAATCTAAGATAAACATGGTCAAAGGATATGAACCAGTGCAATTTATAGAGGAGAAAACACCACAGGCTAATAAAGGAAAAGCAGAGGTCTTCATATTCAACAGTAAACAGAGATATGGAAATTAAATAATTGGAAAGCTGAATAATGCTATGTGCATCTTGGAAACTTCATGTATTGTTGATTGAGTGTGGACAGATGCAGGTTTTCCAGAAACTCAGGCAAAATAAGTATAACATGGCTTATGATCACCCATTCCACTGGTGGGTATATGTATATGTTAGAGAAAGCCATTAAAATGTCCACATAAGGATATGTACAAGACGGAAATGGAAACTTGGAAGTGCAAGTTGTGGCAAGTAAAATGTGAACATAAACCATGGAGTCTTGGGCAGCAGCTAAAAGCAATAGAATGACTGAACACAGAACCACATGACTGAATTATTCACATTATGCTTAGTGCAAAAACCATAGTGAGCACATTCTTGCTACACCTGGCCTGGGACACTAGGTCCATCTGTGATTGCCCATACATGTAAGTATTACCTTAAAACAGACTATTCGTGTAAATCAAAATATGCCCACACAAACAAGACTATGAAAAGAATATGTATAAATAAATGCATATGAAATACATTAGAATGTTTGTCTATGATAACGGTGGAAGAGAAGGGGAATGATGTCATGAGGATAAAAAAAGAAATAAAATGAAAGAAGACAGAGGTCTTGTGTGGGCCAGTAATGACAATGAAGCATTATCATTTATTGGTCTATGAATCTAGAATAACAATTAATTTAACCTTCTGTATCTGAGGTAATATATAAATATATAAACCATCTTTCCCCTCCTTACCATCAGAGAGAATGCTACCATCTTGATTTTCTTCACTTGCAGAACTCCTGAAAGAAAGAAAAGAAAAAAAAAAGTAAGTAGTTATTTACCCCAAAATGAAAATAAAAAGGAAATAGAGACCATTTTAAAACATTTTAAATCTTTAATATTTGCTCTTACTTAAAATTTCAGAAGATGTTGAGCTGGGAGCTTGCGTAGAGCCTGCTCATTCGTAGTTGTTATTGTTATGTGCCATGGAGTCGGTTCCAACTCATAGTGACCATGTACAGGGTTTCCGAGGCTGTAAATCTTTATGGGAGCAGAAAGCCTCATTTCCTCCTGCTCATTCATACTACAAACATATAATTAATCTATTGTTTCAGGGAAGTAGTATGTGTTTGTTAAAACTACTTTAAATCGCTACTGAATGGTATAAAATCAGGAAAGCTGTGTGCCAGGGTTGTAGCCTTTCACCATAGTTATTCAATCTGTATGCTGAGCAAATAATCTGAGAATTTGGATTATATGAAGAAGAACATGGCATCAGGACTGGAGGAAGACTCGTTAGCATGAGATATGCAGATGGCACAACCTTGCTTACTGAAAGTGAAGAAGACTTGAAATAATGATGGAAATCTAAGCACACAGCTTTCAGTATGGATTGTACCTCAATATAAATAAGATTAAGAAAAGAGAAAAAAACAAAACAATGAACTACTTTAAATCAATAATTCAGTTCTGAGATACTGAGGGCAGTTGATTAGTTCTGCAGTGTACACACCAAAGAAAATTAGTTCCATCCCTTGGCTCTATTCTCTTCTCCGGATGTTTTCCACCTGGCTTCACTTCCATCACTTTGTGACTTGGACTTCAAGATCATTCATTCCAGTTTCCCACTCTACAACCCTTAACAGCATTATCACTATATGATCTTCCAAATCCCTAATGATTGATGTAACCATTTATATTTTCTGTTCCTTTTCTCAGGTTGAAAAGCAAAGCTGGAGAAAATTGCCAATGTCACCAACTCTGACATCACAAATATTTGGTGTCCTTCAGTGATATTCTATAATCTCATTATACTGGTTTTCACTAGTCAGCCTTCTCTTGAATGATACATTGCAGTAGTTATTCAAAATGTTCACCTTCTTAGTGACTTTTTAAAACCCTTTGAAACATCTATCTCTCTCTTCTCTTCAATCAAATAGCCTCGTTTCTTACTTCAGTTGGTCCTTGGAAACCCTATACAGAGTTGCTATGAGTTGGAACTGACTCAACAGCACTTAACAACAACCTAGACATAAGAACAGGATTGTATTATCTCTTCTAGGATTGACTTGCAGCATCCATCTTGCCAGTCTTCTAGTGGTCAAAATTACTACCTCCATCTTCCCTTTCATACAGTCCCTTATTCATACAGCTGTCTTAGTGATGTTTTTTACACAAAAATGAGTATGTCATTCTCACGCTCAGTATTCAAATTACTAGAAAAATTAGAGAAGAGTGTTGTTTGATCCCAGGAGATGGTGGTTGAAAAATCAATTCCAGTTGAAGAGCATGGACCATAGTGCCTTATTATCACAGGGCTTTGTGGGTACCTCATGATTAAGGAAGAACCAACCACCTTAGATGTATGTGTTCTCAGTCTCTAACTGTGATGGTTTCCATATGTGGTAATCAGAAGTTAATCTAATACACCCATATTTTTATTGAAACTTTATAAAACATTATAATGAGAACATTATGACTTATAAATGTATAACAAAACATTAGCCATTTTAACCTTTTTCCATGTTCAATTCTGTGACATAATGACATTCATAATGTTGTACAACCATCACCACTCTCTTTTTCCAAAAATTTCCTGGTGTGGCGCTGTGGGTTAATGAGCTATACTACAAGGTCAGTTTAAGCCGTATAAGGTCAGCGGTTCAAGCTCACTAGCTGCTCCTTGGAATCCCTATACAAGGTAGCTATGAGTAGACTCTATAGCAACAACAACAACCACTTTACCAAGCATTATGCCCTTCTCTAAGGACTGGCTCCTTCTAGGAATATGTCCAAAGAATAGGAGATGAATTCTCACCATCCTGGTTTCTAGGGAGCATTCTGGCTGTACTTGTTCTAACAGATTGCTTTATTCTAGCAGTTCATGATACTTTTAATATTCTTCTCCAACACCATAACTCAAATACATCAATTCTTCTATGGTCTTCTTTATTTCTTGTCCAACTTTCACATGCATATGAACCTATTGAAAATACCATGGGTTAGGCATACCTCAATCCTCAAACTGTTATCTTTCCTTTAGAACACTTTAAAGAGGTCTTGTGCAGCAAATTTGCATTGTGAAGTATATCATCTAATTTAATGACTGATGTTTCCATGAGTGTTGATAGTGAATCCAAGTAAAACACAGTATTTGACAACTTCAATCTTTTCTTCATTTATCATGATTTTATTTATTGGTCCAGTAGTGAGGGTTTTTGTTTTCTTTAAATTGAGGTACAACTCATACTAAAGGCTATGGTCTTTGATCTTCATCAATAAGTATTTTAAGTCTTTTTTACTTTCTGCAACCAAGGTTAAATCAGCTGCATATCTTAGGTTGTTAAGGAGTCTTCCTCCAATTCTGATGCTACATTCTTCTTCATATAATCCAGTTTCTTGGATTATTTGCTCAGCATACAGATTGAGTAAATATGGATAAAGAATACAAACTGGTGCACATCTTTCCCATTTTTAAAACATTCAGTGTCCCCTTGTTCTTTCTGAATGACTGCTCTGTAGTCTATGTACAGGTTTCTAATGAGCACACTTAAGTGTCCCGGAATACTCATTGAATGCATACATAGAACAACAAATTACATAATCTGAATTTAGGTACTTGAAATAAGTTACCATTTGCATTTCTAACTTTCTCACATTGAATATTAATTAAAAGCAAAAGCTATAATTAATCATTTCTACACATGGGTGATTCCCTTTAACAGCAAAATACTTGTGCTGACAGCTGACAGAACAAAATATATAGCCATTCTCATGGCATATAAGGTTCGTATGATCAACTCTATTCGTGTCCAGCATTAGTTCTCATACTTCCTCTTCTTACCTCATCTTCTTCTCACACATCAATATGTTGTTGTTGTTAGGTGCCATCAATTTGGTACTGACTCATAGCAACTCTATGCACAACAGAACGAAACACTGCCTGGTCCTGGGCCAACCTCACAATTGTTGCCACGCTTGAGTCCATCGATGCTGCCACTTTCCCAATCCATCTAGCTAGGGGTCTTCCTCTTTTTCCCTAACCCTCCATCTTAACAAACATAATATCCTTCTCCAGAGACTGGTCCTTCCTGACAATATGTCCAAAGTATAAGAGACGAAGTTTGGCCATCCTGGCCTCCAAGGAGCACTCTGGCTGCACTTCTTACAACATGGATCTGTTGGTTCTTTTGGCAGCCCACGGCACTTTCAATATTCTCCTCCAACATCACAACTCAAAAGCATCAATTCTTCTAAAGTCTTCCTTATTCACTGTCCAGCTTTTGCATGCATATGAGGTTATTGAAAATACCATGGGTTAGGCATACCTCAATCCTCAAACTGTTATCTTTCCTTTAGAACACTTTAAAGAGGTCTTGTGCAGCAAATTTGCAT